AAATATAGCAGCTAAGGAGGTTTGTTTCTGCTGAGGCTTTGGCTTTCCCACCATTCCAGATGTTCAAACCAGCAGGACACAAATAAAACTGCGAATAACAGCTCCTGCTCTCACAGAATTCTCTGCATAAATTCCACCCTAAGTTCTAAATTGAAATCTCTGCTCTTTAGCCACCCCTCTCTGCAATCAGAGACTCTAATCATTGGGTTTTATATAATCTGATTTATAAAATTGCATGCTTCACAATAAAATAGCTTCAGGGTGCAAGCACAAAATTTAAAACATTCAATTAAAAATATAAAACAGAGCCACAGTCATGAAAAAAAAAAAAAACCCAGCATATATTAGATTCTTCAGCTGCCTCCTGGGAAGATCGCTTTAAAACAACTTTAAATATGCTTTCTGAAAATCCAAACGCCATTTTGAGCTGGCCGGATAGGTAGAAACCTTCCAGGCTATATACACACCATATGCAGCACTGTCAAGGACTGACCGCTGTTCATCCTGGTAACTTCTCTGGGATGAATTTTGCAGATGAGGTTAGAAGATCTTGTTCTTAAGAGTTAAGCGCTTCCCACTCATCCCTGGGAACAGCGCTCACCAGTCGCTGAGTAGCCTTGGGAATGTAGCTAAATTATTCAGCCACTTTTAATCTTATTTTCCTCTTCTCCAAAATAATACTTCCTATTTCAAAGATTCTTTATCAGGGCAGAATGTAACCAGTTAGTTATCAGTGTAACATCTGGTTTCAAGAAAGCCATCACGGAACACTAAATTTTTAAAAAGCCTTCATTGAATGCTACTGTTATCCTGTTATTGAAACACCAGTAAATTAATAAGATACTGTTATACTTTGAGAGCAAACCCTGTGCAAGTGTTTCCTTATAGTGGAAATAATTTCTGAGTTAAGATAGCATAAATGCTGGTTCCTGACAGATACAGTAGAGGAGATTTTAATGCCAACACTTCTGAGGAAGGAGAATCGCAAGTCCAGAGTAGTGTGGTCTACACAGAAAGCTCGAGGTTATCCAGGGGCTACACAGTGAAAGCTTGAAAGAAAAAAAAAAAAAAGCCACTGCTGTCCTCCCTGTCATGGAGAAAGGTATGTAATTCACACTGAACCTAGAAAGCCATGGGCCTTCTTCTACTAAGTGAATGCAGAACACAAGCTGAAATCGACAGAATGACAATCCCCACAGTGGACCTTCAGCTCCAAACTATCCGCCCAACCTTGCTCTGTGTCGATCTGTTTCCTTCCCTCCATATAACTTTGAAGCCCCAGAATCATTTCATGGTTTATCTACAGAGATTTCAACATGGTTTTCTTTTTGGGGGGCGGGGAGGGGGATGGAGTGGGTTTAGGTTTGGGGTTTCTTAAGACAGGTTTCTCTGTATAGCCTTGGCTGTGCTGGACTCACTTTGTAGACCAGGCTGGCCTCGAACTCACAGTGATCCACCTGCCTCCCTGCGTGCTGAGGTTAAAGGCCTGTGCACTGCACTTGGCCAGCATGTGTTTCTAAAAGGACAAATCTTTATCCTAGCCACAATTATGATTGTATCTAAAATGAATGCTAATTCCTCAATATCCCAGATACTGACTCAGTATTTCAACTTCCAAAAGTGTAAATCTGTCCTACTTTTCAGTTTTCTTTGGGACTCATAAATATAAATGTTTTCCAAATCAGAATCCAAATAAATGATGTTTAAAATTAGAGTTGGGAGTAGAATGCTTTGGAGCTCTTTCTGCCTGTAACCACTCCCTTGGCCTCTGTGTAAATGTGCATGCAAGTGTGTGTGTGTGTGTGTGTGTGTGTGTGTGTGTGTGTGTGTGTGTATGTGTGTGTGCATTCCAGTTCCATGGTGCAGCAAAGCCAGTTCTTTTGGTCTCTGTGTATCCTGTATGTCCGCATTTGATTTGCATCAGGTTGAACTATGTCAGTGAGTTATACCATCTGGAGGCATGTCTAGGTCACCATTCCCTCTGTGGTGGCAGCAGCCATTGATGTTCAACATCTGGAGCCATCATTTCAAGCACATTACAAAACAGTGACGTTTAGGTTCTATCCCACTTAGGACCCCCGAGAATCTTGTAGGATTAGCTGCCTGTCCCTTTTCAGAGCCTACATCTATCACTCTTGACTAGTTCCCTATTCTCCCTTGTGCCTAAAAGGCTCCAGGGAATTCAGGAAGGGGTCCATGGAAGAAAAGGTTCAAATGTAGAGCACCCATCCCCACCACACCATATCCTGTCTCTAACACGTGGTTATGAAGTGTCCATAGTTAATGCCCACGGAGGCACTGACTGAAAAGCCAGGCACAAGAAGACAATGGGAGCGACTGAAGGGGGTCTCCTGTCCTGAAGCCAAAGGAATAGGGAAGAGAATGAAACCGGTTTAAGTGGTTTCTGGCCCAGCCTGAGATCCAGAAGGAGGCTGGATAGAGGTGCAGGTTCAGTAGGTTATATCACAGCCAATAAGCATGAAGATCTTTGAGTAAGAGACTTAGAGGCCCAATGTGCTCTGTAATTGCTATCCCTGCCTTCACCCTTGTGTTCTGAGAATTCCTCTGGGAAACTTCAAAGTAAAGGGAGAACATTTTCCTGCCAAAAACATCCTAGCAGCCTGCGAACATAGCTTCCCTTCAATGCTCACCCGTCTACTAGGGCATGCCAGAAGCTTGGTGTTTCCCTGCCATCACTCAGAGCACTAGAGCCCAAAATACTGTCATAAAGCCACAAGCCAAATGGACCAGATAGAAGGGTACATGGTAACAGAGTCTAGCAATAAAATCTCTGACCGCAAGAAGACAAAGACAGGCAGGTCTAGATAAGCAACCAGCTGCAGCCCGCAGACTGGGGGGCTCAGGCACGGCCTTGCCATGTGTATCCAAAAGGGAGGAGCCCAGAGAGGGTGCTGTGGAGTGAGGAAAAGGAAAGGCCAGCTGCTGACAGCTTCTCTCCACTTCCTGCCTGCTCAGATACAACGCGTGCATACACCAGTGCTTCGAGAGGAGGACGAAAGGTGCTGGGAACATGGTCAATGGGTTGGCCAACAACGCCGAAATCGACGACAGCAGCAACTGTGACGCAACCGTGGTGCTACTTAAGAAAGGTAAATAGCAGATCCTAGATCCAACACGGCTGCCACGGTGTGAGTCTGTCTACCCAGCACGTAGCCACAGCCTGGCATCCCAGCTGGCCCCAAGCAGACAGAGGAGTCGGCGCTCCTGCCTTGCCTCATGGGTCACACCTGGATCCACTGAAATGCCCAGGGAACCCATTCTGGGAAGGTGATGTGGGAACATGGGGTCAGCAGGGCCAGGAGAGAAGAAGGTGGATTTTGAAATAGTGTGTTAAGGCTGTGTGACCATGAAAAAAAGTTCCTTCATTTCTCTGAGCTTGAGAAATGGGCATCATTCCTGTAATGAGTGAGTCAGTTAGATATGCAGAAAAGCTTAACACAATGCTTCACAGTGACAGGCATTGCTAGTTATTAGCACATATATCCAAATTCTCTTTGAGAATACATTAACTCGGGTTCCAAGCTACAGAAGGAGAGAGAAAATTACCTTTGTAATTCTTCTATTTAATAGGCCCTTACAAAACTGTCATTATGCTAGGGGAAGCAACACGGTGCTCGCTGATAAATAAGATTGTTTATACGGGATGTAGAAAAATATCATGTAATTTTTGCCATGGATGTATTTCATTTTTTCATTTAATTTCTTTTTAATTTTCTCCTTGAACTACATCCCATATGGTCACGTAGCAGGGAAACAACAAAAAGTAAATTAGAAACTGTATAGGTTATTGTCAACTATATCTCAAACTTTAGACTCTCTTGATAATTTATTGTATTTTGAGATTAGATATCTGATATATTTTTCTGAAGGTCTCTATGTACCTTTAATGAAAGACTTTAATGTTATTTTGTACCGTTCTGTGGGAGGATTTTCTTTAGTTTCTCCCTTCTGAGTACTTTATAACTATAAAAAGAAACTTGTGGTGGGGCCGGGGGGCGAAGAGCTGAGTAATGTTAGTGCTGGGCCTGGGGGGATGGCCTGGTTGGCAAAGCATTTACCATAGAGCAGAGGGGGATAGTAATAACGATGACAGTGATGATATGAGAGACCGTGTCATGGTCTCACGGCCTGGAAAATAGGAGTGAGCACCTGTGAGTGATGAGTGTACAGTGCTCTTCCACAGAGAGGGGGCTCGGGCAACAGTGGAGTGCTTCACATCCCGGAAGGCTTATCTGAGGCCTCCTCCTGAACACTGGTCCTCAGATGTGACCAGCTCACGCCTGTACGCTCTGTTCCCAGGATGCAGGAACATCCTGCACATGTCCACAGCTGGGACCTCCACCTGGGACACATGTCAGCCCTGCAGCATCTGCCGGTGCACTGGGTTGCCGTGCACGGCCATGATGGGTTACCAAAGGTTACTGGGGCCTTCCCTATGACCTAGACCTTAGTGGTGGGAAAATAACACTCTGAGGCCAAGGAGGAATTCTCTTACCCTGCTCATTCCTACCATATTGATGAGTGGTGTTTGAATAGTCTCAAGTGGTTTCAAATGAATTATTAAGCATGACCCATGACTTAAATGTGACCCCTAATTTTGATCACTGCAACATTCAATGGATGGATAGAAGGAAGAAAAGAAAGAAAAAGGGAGGAAAGGATGGTGGGAAGGGAGAAGAGAGGAGAGTGAGGAAGGAAGGAAATGGGAGAAAGAGAGGAAGAGGAGGGAGGAAAGAGGAGGGAAGTGGAGAGATGAATGGATGGATGGATGGACAGGTGGATGGATGGACCAGTGAACAGATGGATGAACAGGTGCAAAGGTGTGAAGGAGTGGGCTAGGGAAGAAATAAAGGGAAGATGAATGGATGAACGCCTCTCTCCCGGGCTGCATGCTATGGTATTTTCTCTTTCGCATTTCCCTAGCCAATTTCCACCGCAAAGCGTCAGTGATCATGGTGGATGAGCTGCTGTCGGCCTACCCACACCAGCTTTCTTTCTCTGAGGCTGGCCTTCGAATTATGATCACAAGCCACTTTCCTCCCAAGACCCGGCTCTCCATGGCTAGTCGAATGTTGATCAATGAGGTATCTGGAAAAGAAGAAGGGAGGGGAGGGGAGAGGATGGAAGGGGAGGGAAAAAGATAACTCTTCCTGATTTATAAGATGCAGTACTGGGGTGAAAGTTGAACAGAAGTCTCTCCCTCAGCCATTTCCCAGCATCTTTGCGCACTGAACCATCTTACCCCAGTCCTCTCCCATCTTCTCACTGCATATTGAGGGACATAGCCTAGTCCCCTCTGTTTACCTTGTTTAAGGCAGGGTTTCACATAGCCCAGCCTGGCCTCACACTCACTATGTAGCCAGAGTCTCTTGAACTTTCTGGGACCATCAGCATGTGCCACCACTCTCAGTTGATGGAGAACTAGGAATTGTACTCTGCATCTCATGTTTGCTGGACTCTACCAGATAGATCCCCAATGGCAATCTGTTTTATTCCATTCGAATAAATCTCCTTCTCATAAACTTTTATCAAAATAGCTAAGCCAAAGTTATCAAGCCAGAGTCCCTGGGCTTTTGTCTTTCCCTGGAGTGGCAGCCTCACTAACAAACTAGTCCAAGCATGTGGCATAGCCTTCTTGAATATAGTGTTACAGTTATTTTTATATTATATTTGTTTCTCAGTTTCTCTGTTAACCCAGCTATCACACAAATAATTGAGACTCTTTTATGTTTGTTTAATAATAAGCTTCACAACAAAATAACTGAGAATTTATTACTCTATTCTTAACCCTCTAAGCTAATTTGGTTCCTCCCAGGATACATCTCAGAGATAGTTATAATCTGTACCTTTTCTGCTGAGTGCTCTCTCTCTCTCTCCTGGTCTCGCCTAATCATCTCCAATGTACTATCCCCTAGCTAAATCCTCTACTTCCTCTTCTAACTCCTCCTCTCCTGGCTGGCAGGAAGTCCAGCCCTATTCTCTCCCCTGCTCAGTGATTGGCTGTAAGCTGCTTTATTGGCATATTAGGGGACAATTGGGGAGCAGTGTTTAGACAATGTTGAGAGAAGACATTCTCAGAAAAAGGCTTGCAACCGGATATGGGAGAGGTAGAAATTGGCATTTGAATTACACAGTAACCTTATGCCTATAATATGGAACAAGGGTTCCCATGGGCTGGAGAATAAAGATAATGTCACAGTGTACAGATGTCAAAGAATTATACACCCCAGATGTAGAAATGTTCACAAAGGAAATTTGAAATTTCCAGTGGATCACAAAAGGTTAATTTTTCCATCTAGAAGGGAGATCATTTAAATCTGTTATTGCTTTAAGAAATCTCCTAACACTTGGCTCCTTGTCAGTGCTGGGGAAGACATACCTGCCTGTGTCTTAGCGTTGTTGGGTGAGTTCCATCCCCCGGACTACAGTGACAGATCGCTTTCTATTTTCAGAGACAAAGATTGATAAACAGCAGGGCTTATGCCAATGGGGAATCCGAAGTGGCCATCAAAATCCCAATTAAGCACACTGTGGAGAATGGAACAGGGCCCAGCAATGCCCCAGACAGGGGTGTGAATGGAACCCGGAGGGAGGACATTGTTGCTGAGGCTGACAACGAGACAGAGAACGAGAACGAAGACAATGAGAACAACGAGAATGATGAAGAGGAAGAGGAGGATGACGATGATGATGAAGGGCCCTACACGCCATTCGATCCTCCCTGTAAGAGGCCCTTGATTCAGGCTTGGGAAGGGGGATGTCACGGGATCCTTGAGTAGACGCTCTTCACTTGGCTATCTTTTTACTATTCAATTCCAAAAGAGCCTTTCGATAAACAGAAACCTATTTGTATGAGGTGTCTGCTGTGGGCAGGGCCCTGTCATGAAAGGTCCAAAAATGTGGTGCGTGGGCAAGAGCGGAAAGGTGAGCACCTTTGCCAAATGCGTTTTGTGGCAGGACTTTCTCCCACAGCCTCTCAGCTGTGCTGCAGACCTTTAGTTCTAAGGTAGAAATGTGCACGTGACCCGTGTCACCAGGGCAGCCAGGCACCCGAGGGCACAGCCATGGAAATCCTGCCCCTTTGTTCTCCCCTCCTCCCCTTTCCCTCTATTCAGGAGCATCTTTCACACCCTGCCGTCTGCAGAGCAGCTTCACGGGAGACACAGACCCATGCAAAAGCTAGTCCTTGGTGTCTTACCCCATGGAACTGGTCATGGTCTCTCCCTGGCACACTGGAAGGGGAGAGGCGAGACGAGTAAAAGCTTCCAGGACCTTGGCTGGTAGAGCATGTGCCCTTTAATGTTCCTCCCACCCCCACCCATTAGCAGAGAATGAAGGCCAAGACCAAAGAAGTCTGTGTCCTTGCTAGACCTTCACAAAGCTCCTGCCAGGTTCATGAAGCCTGCACAGATCCAGTTCACATTCACAGCCATTTGAGTCTTCCCTAGTGTGCACAGTTCCCCGGGCTGACTGAGCTCGCATAAGGCCTGGCTGAGCAAGTATTTTATGATCAACCTGGAAGGCCATTTATGGCAGATACTGAGTCTGGAGTCCCAGACCTGTGCTGATTTCAGATGCAAGGCCTTGCTGTGCTTCCTTCTCCGTATATCCATGGGGGAGGGACAGGCAACTGGCACAGTTCAGACCAGAACTGATCCTGATCCCCTCCCCCACACACTCCTTCCCTAAAACAAGAGTGTTGATAAGCACTTACCAAATTAAATTAAAAGAATACACATCCAGATTCCTGTGTGCCTGCCAAGGTTGAATTACTACTTGCTCGTAGATTGTCTCCATAGGGGAAAAAAATTGCACACCCCCGTCTGTGGTTTCACTTTCTGTGGTTTCACTCACTTGAGCTTAATTGTGGTCAGCCACAGCCACCATCCACAGGCTGAAAATATTAAATGGAAAATTACAGGCACAGTTCATAGGTTTGAGGTCACACTCCATCCTGAGATGGAGCTCCATTCTCCCACCACCTTGCTCTGTCCCACCTGAGCCAACAACCCTCTGTGTAGCAAACCATTCTGTCTGTAACCGCTGCGCCTCCATCCCCAACCCTTAGCAGGCGCTAGGACCCTCATGTGTATACGCATTTGTATTAATGTAACTATGTATGGACGCATACATTTTATATATGCATTAAATACTCACGCACTGTATCTACCTCTGTAGAGTACGCGTAGCTACACACCTACGCGCAAATACACATATATTCTTGAATGAAGAAACCCTTACTACTTGCAAACAGAGATGTATGTAGGTAAACAAATTTCCATAAAACAAAAAACAAGACAAAAACCACTGGAAGGAAATCCACCAAAATAAAATTGTATTTTTCTAGGTGGAGTTTTTTTCCTATTGTAAATGTGTGTTCTTGTCTTCTATGTGATCAGAACAAATGTGAATGTTTTTCTATTGGTCTAAAACATTGCACAACTATTTTTTTCTCTCTCCCTGATCTAAGCATTCTTAAAAGCTTGGTCAGAAATAGAACTCCAAAGCAAATCCTTTGAAAGGGCCTTGACGCCTGCCACCCCTGCCGGGCCTCCCTGTCACGGACTTCACAAGTATATGGCCTCCACGGAGAAGTGTACGTTTTAATTCACTGCTGGGTTAGCCTGGCACAAAATGACTTAGACAGTGCCCAACATGTATGCTCTAAGTGAACAAATAAACGTATCCCCTAGAGCTCTGTTGGGAACAAACAGTGATAGAAAAAAAATAACAAAAAATGTCCAGAAATGCTGCTGACTCAGGAGAGGAAACAGCTCAGCTCCGACTCAGAAATAGACATTAAAGGTAGTTGAAAAATGCATACCATCCTTTTTTACTCCTCCTCAAAGTCATTTTCAAAGCCCCTTTCTGTAAGCTTGCTTGGCTCAAGGAACTAAAGCTGTTATCGTGGGTTCAACGTCGTATCTTAGACACTGGTCTTTGTACTTCTACCTTTGGGGTGGATGTTACTAAGGAACAAGAATGTACACTCTGACTGTACAATTTCATGGCGGTGAGGCTGCCTTCGTGAGCTCATGTCCTTCAGTGCCAAACCCAAACAGCTGAGAACAGTGGAGGGGGACTGGGCCGTTGCTGGCAGGAGCTCACGCTGTGCACAGCTTTATCTAATCAGCCCCCTCCCCCCCCCCCCCCAGAGTCCCGATGTCATGACCTCATCTTCCTTCTCATTTTCAGTTTCCGAGGAATATTAGTTGAGGTCATTTCTTTTTCTGTTCACTTGCTTCTTTGTAACCTTTGATCAGGGGGTCTGTTTTAAATGGGCATCTGTTTCTTTCTCTCTCTGTGGCTGGCTCCCCCTGATGTAATGCCAGAAGGGGATTCCCCCAGAGTTCCAGGTGGGCTAAAGCCTCCATGCCCAACTGAAGGACTCAAATGGGACCCAAAGATCTGTCCTTTTTCTGAATCCTGCAACATTTGGAGGATTGTACAACTGCCGTCTTCTTGATGAGAATCAAGCCAGGCTCTAGGGTCTCAGTGTCCCCTTGACCTCCCCCAAGTTAAGTCTAACAGGATGCATAGCACCCAATAGGAAAGGACCTTCTTTCTTAATAATATTTTGTCTTCATTAGTGGACTATGCTTAGATTCTTAAGGCCGATTTTGAGGGGATTTCTAATTATAGCATAAGTTGTATTGTTATTAATATTTCATTGCTAGTATTATTAATATTTTTAGCTTACTTGAAGCAGAAGAATGCCTAAGATGTATTAAAAATGGGTGGATGGTGCCAGGGCAGTGAAAATGGGAGACAGGAGCCAAATCAGGCAGGGCTTCATTGGTCATGGTATGGAGATGCTGTGTTACTCTAAAGATGGTGGACAGCAGAGGAATGTTCTAAACTCATTTTGTTCTCAAGACTCTCTCCCTTTGCCTTCAAGAGTAAACACAGAGGTAAGATAGGCCTTAATGTGGGAGTTCCTTTCGGAGGTCAGACCACCTGACAGGGAGTTGACCATGGGGAAAATGCCCTGGGCAGGTGTCATATTTAGGCCCGAGGATGAAAGAAGGGGAGGAATCAAAAATGACTTATCAAATTTTGACTAGGGCAATCTGAAAAGTTGCCAACCAAAAAGCTCCTGTCCTAAGGTTGCCAATCATTTGGCTGGAGTCCTTTTGCTCTTCCTGGCGAGGAATCATGGGGAGGCCTGGAGAGGCTTTGCCAGCGCTGGTCTTTGGCCATTCTTGTATCTCTGTGGTGCTTGGCAGTAGCAACCAGCAACAAGCAAGTGGAAACAACTTCAGGTAGCGACCTTTAGGCTTGCAGCTCTGTCTTGCAGGCATCAGGATCAGGATTTCTCAGCCCTATCACCATCCAGTGCTACAGTTCTTAGGCCTGGGTGTCTTAGCCTGAGGGCTTGGCAGATTGCTAGGACTCTTCTGCAACCAGGGCCTCCAGTTTCTCTTCTCTGGCTCTTTCCAGCTTCCTATCCATCATGAGCATCAGGTCTGTTCTCTCTATTCCTATTCTGTCCCATGGTCCCTATACTCTCAGATTCATCCACTTGATGGGGATGAATCAAATAACGACGATTAGGCATACAACAGATTTTATATGAAAGAGGTTTATTAGATGAAGATGAAGAGAGAGGGAGAGAGAAGGGAGAGCAGGACATGATGGGGGGAGGCATCCCGACAGAGAAAGGCGAGAGGGCAGAGTGCCAAGAGAGGCCAAGAGAGAAGAGACCAAGAGAGGAGGAGCAAGAGAGAGACCACGTGTGGGGTTGTTCCCTTTAAGGGGCAAGGTAACTGCGCCTCCCAGGTGTGGCCACCTGGCCAGTGAAACATGTGACATCGTAGGCTGCTAGGCAACCCAGAAGCAGGTTTGGTTCCTAAGTCCTAACACTGCTGCTGCCTCTTCTTCAGCAATCTGGAAGCTTCTTG